AATTAGGATGGAAAATGATTAAGAAAAGCACTTTTGCTCATTTGAGATTATATGAAGCTAGACCAGCTCATCTTTGGTGTAACCACAAAGACTTCAGCTCCATTGACAAAGAGGTTACATCAGCTGTTTCTATGCTTCATTTTCGTGTAGAGTCCCCCTCAGCATCCTTCATTTCTCAAGAATGTGGTACTGAGAAGCCAGAGAAAGGATGTCAATGATTGTTTCCAACTGGGAGACCAACAAATCCCCCAAAAAACCCTCTTGCCTCTTCTCTGAGAAAAACCTATTCTGCAAAGGAAGAATCACGAAGGCACAGATATTTGCCAGAACAGCTCCTTTTCCACATACAAAGCTTTGAAAGATGCAAAGTTACTAAGGTATTTCTGAGCTTTTAGCAAGAGCTGCCAACAACCAAAGAGTATTTTGTCTCAGTTGCCAAATTATTTGACTCCAAAAAGATAGGTTCTCTCAACCATATATCATCAGCAGTTATTTTGGCCTGTGTTTCCATTACACTCTCCCATTGTGTCCTCACATACAACTATTTCAGTTTTGGGGACTCCCTATGCTTACAAAAAAAAAAAGGCATTGCCACAGGCTCAAATACTGCTCTGCAGTATGCTGACATATTTATATGAGACCTTGAAGTTCCTTTCCCCCATACCTAGCTTCTCATCACCCTGGTATACTTCAGAACATGGATGACATCTTCATAATATGGACACATGGGAAGTAAACTCTAGAGAGGTTTCACCAAGACCTTAACAACTTCCACCCTCCATCAAACCAGCTCTGGAATACTCTAAACAGCAGATGGATTTTAGTGCAGCAAATGTTTGCCACATTGCCACCATGTTTTATTGGAAGCCAACCAAGTGCTACAGCTACCTTCATGTTATCAACTTTCACCTTAAGCACACTACTACATCTATCATCTTCAGCTAAGCTATATTACAACCAGGTCTGCTCTGATTCCACTGTTGAGGATGCACACCTTAAAGAACTGGAGCAGGGATTCCTAAAATTACACTACAATAATAAAACTATAGTCATTCAAATCAAAAGGTCAGACTCAGACCTCACTCCAACATACTACAATACCAAACCCAGGACAAGGATAACAGAATATTTTTGGTTGTCACCTACAGACTCCAACTTGAACACTTAAGACACATCATTAATGATCTCCAGCCCCTCCTGGAAAACAATGACCTGTCCTGGATTACAAATCCTACTCCCTCAATCTCAAACAAGGTTTCAAGCAACAAACTACCTAACTCCCATCCTCACCAAAGCACCGGGTCTTTCAATGGACCCAAATGCCTGCTGGTCCTCCACATCAGTACAGACCACAGCAACTGGACCAAATAGCAAGGAGTACAACATCCAAGATTCATTCACCTGCACCTCTACCAATGTCATATATGTCATCACCAGCTTACAATACCCATCAGCTGTCTACACAAAACAGACAGGGCAAACTCCAGGTGTAAGAATGATGAACTCCAGTCTGACATCAGCTGCAGAAAGACATAAAAGCCTGTGGCAGAATACCTCAGCCTCCCTGAACACTCCATTGATGACCTCAAAATTGTTTTTTTTTTCAGGCAGAAAATCATTAAAAACCAGTTTGAATGGAATATTGCAGAACAAGAAATCAACCACAGACTGGATTGTGTTAAGTATGGTTAAAACAGGGCGTATGGATTCTTATCCCATTACCTGGATTAGCTTTTCTGGCTCCTTTGTCTGTATGGCTTCTTTGCTTGTATGTTGCTCACAGCACTCCCCCTCCCTCCTTTCTCTCCATCCTGCTTTTCCATCATTGTATTCTAATCACTTACTCTACTTCATACTGTATTCTGTCCTTTCATAGCATTTGATGAAGTGAAATTTTGTGCTCTCTCTCTAAGATCTTATTTAGTTAGTCTATAAAGGTGCATATCTACCCTGCCTTCTGCATGACTTCAGAATGCAGAGTCAATATTTACCATTGTAGACTAACTAAATAAACACAGCTAGCTTCCTCTCTCTTTCTTCCACTGTCATCTTGGCAAAGTACAGATTTACAGCTTGTTGCTCCAACAGCTTTCTTAAAACACATACAAAAGATCCATGGTGAAGATATTCCAGTAAAAATGTAGGACCACTGTAGATGGAAACCCAGGATGGACTGAAAGACTACCGGCTGAAAGCTCTTATGGGGAGAACCGCTTGACTTCTGGTAGCAGAATGGCTTGAATTAAGCTCTCAATAATTTTAAACAGACAAGTTCAGTTTATTGAAGAAACTCCAGCCTTCACAGTTTTTTTAAATTATAGGAATGTCACATTTCTAACCAGCAATAACATCTATGATATCTCTGCATACAGTTGACAACTTAAGGGGTTCCCCATTTCAAGTTACTTATTGTCTGAGGAAAACCTCAGCATTCTCAGATGCTTCAGCTTCCAGTAAAACGAAAAGAAAAGAAAAGAAAAGACGTAATACTCACAAGCTTAAAAGGACTATTTGAATTATCTTCATTTGACTCATTTTTAAATCTCAGAGATACATACATCCAAACCAAGTATCAAAAGCATGCAGACCTTGATGTAACTATTTAAGAATTAAATGAAAAATTAATGTGTTTGACTTTGCTGTCTGTAAATAGTTTCTCTACTTACACTCACACAAGACTAAGCAAGCAAGCAAATAAAAAGAAAACTGAATATTGGACTCATTTCTGTTTTACAATTCAGGTTTCCCTCACTTTATGCTGTATATGCATTCCTGGAAAATGGCGCTTATCTCGAATTCCCATAAAGGGAACCCACTTTACAATGTGACAAATAGGGATACATTCCAATACTGATCCCCAGACCCATTTCTATCACTTTTACAAGACAATGTTGGTACTCCCCAACAGCAGACAGTACACACAAGCACAGGGCACTATCATAATGGAAACGGCAACTACAGAAACACATGTCGCAGACAATGAGCGAGGAGCACAAATCCACAAAGGAAACTATATTATGGTGCACATCACTCCCACAATGCACCGCACAAAGTAGCTTACTGTGGGCTTCTACCACACCAATCACATAAGAGTGAATTTACCTTGCACATAACACATTTTTGGTATTAAAAGGGTCATCACATAAGAGAATTTGTACATACAGAACCTGCATACAGTGAGGGAAACCTATATCTGAGAGAAAATCAGTAATGGGTGTGTGTGAGAGGGGAGGTGGAATCCGCACCAAATAGGCCCAGACCCCTGACCAATGCACCCTGACACTTACCTTAGGAGCTGGGACAAGCAGCAGCCGGGAGGAAACACATACGCAGGCTCAGCAGTTCTGCAGTTGCCTGTGCCTGCGTATTGGCGAAGGCTGGGGGTGTGGCTTCTGGGCAGCGTGGGCTGCTCAAAAGGCAGCGGGGGAAACAGCTGGAGGGAGGCTGAGAAGCCGGGAGCGGAATGCTGGCTGCAAGACGCCAGCTGCAGAGCTGGCAGGCTCCAACTCCAGCTGCCTCAGCAAGGAGCCAGGTGCCCACCGGAGAACCCCAACCAGGGAGGAAGAAGGTGGCCTTGGGGACCGGCAGGAGCAAGGGAGCCCCATGGAGGGGCAACCTCTACATGGGATGCTGCCAGGGAGCCACAAAGCTCCAACCAGGGGCTTGGGCACTGTAGCGGGAGATGCCTCCTCTAGCTTGCAGGCACCGACAGACAACCCCACAGCAGGCAGAGCGCGGGGGATCATGAGGCTCCAGAAGGAGGGGATGCCAACCAGGGCAACTGGACCACAGCCAGGCCCCAAGGAGGTGACACCAGGGGAACGGGTAGAAGCTGGGCACAGGACGTTTGCCTGTACCCGTGTCTATTGGGAGGAAAGGGAATGGACGAGTATCCCCAGAGGATCAAGGGCCCCGAGAGAGGGAATCTTGGAAGCCCCACTGGCACAAGCCAGACATTCAGTTTAAGTTACCATTAGCCCCAGATGGGGCAAGTTTAGTTCTCCCAGAGGGGAAGCTGACTCGGAGATGAGGGGTGGACCCCCAAAGATTGACAGCCAAGAAGGCCCATCCTTTCCAAGGCGGGCAGTGTGGGAGACCTACGCGGAGCAGCGTCTACCTAGACCGAAGACATGGTAAGGGTGGGGGTAAAGGGGAGGTTTTGAGCCCCACAAAGACATTCCAAGGATGAGACCCCCCTCGGGTTGCCAACAGGGAACTGCCTCCCCAGTAACAACATGAAAGACATGGCGGGAGTGAATGGTCAGTGCCTGGACCATTTAGGCAGCACCAAGACTGGGTCTCACCCTGATGTCACTGGGGGGCAAGGGACTTCCAAGGGAAGTAGTGCTGGCTCTTACCTTGGGGGTCTTTAAGAGGAGGCTTGATGATTACCTAGCTGGGGTCATTTGAGCCCAGTTTTCCCTCCTGCCCAGAGCAGGGGGTCAGATTAGAAGATCTGCAAGGTCCCTTCTGACCCTATATTTATGAATCTATGAATCTACCCACAAAGAGGGCGCCAAGACCCTACAACACCTACCAGCAATAGTGTGGTATACCAACATTATTTGTTAAGTATTTCATAAGCTTGTTTTTATCAACATCACTATATCACTAAATGTAATATATTCATTAAATATTGGATAGCATTAATAAATATTAATATACATTGATGTTTTAATGAATTCAAGACAGACCAGTATGTGAAGTTATAAGAAAAACAGAGCTAGAGTTAAGGTTATCCAAATAACTACATTTCCTCATTTCTCATTCTTAAGACTTTTTGCATCATTTTTTGTATTCATGAAGCAAAGAAACAGTAAGGTAATGTTACACTAGTGATTAAAAACATTATTTCTCTTGCTCTATTTGACTAATGTAGTGGGAAGAGAAAAAAAATCTGAATTGTAAAACCAGCAATGCAATCATTTTAAAAGCTAGAGGCAAAACAATTTACATATTGCAAGGGGTTCAGTAAGGCAGCCCCTGTGATAATGAATTACCTTAAAGGTAGGGTAGTGATAGATATGATCTTCTCCAAGCAACCACTTATCAATGTAACCTGCTGCTCCACCTGTGCAGTTAGGGTATTTTCCATCATCTCCTATCCCTCCAGGACCAAGGTAACCCCTGTAGATACAAATATAAAATTCAGCCTAAATGCCAGCTAAGGACTGATTTCTTAGCAAGACTTCACTACAATTACAGCAGAAAAGTTTTATTAAAATGTATTCGTTCATTTTAAATTTGTGGTTAGTATTTTCTGTAGGTAACTGGTATTTGTACATTGTGCAGTCTGATGGTGAGAGAACAAAAGAATCCTGTGGATACCAGAATCAATTCTGTTGCATCTGATTTTTCACTGGAACTGTATTCAATTTAAAACTGTATTATAATAAAGCCAAACAGATAATACTCTCTCTAATTGAGACTTACCATCTGCTGCCATATCAACAAAACACATCTCAACTCATTTGGATTTTTTTTCTTACATCAGACAAACAACAGAAAATATGCTCATGATTAGCATACAAAGTCTTTTCTATTTGGCAATACATTTTCTACAACTGTATTCAGTAAAAGTGCTTTTGGTTAAACTACATCTTAAATTTTCCAGTACATTATATATGCCAAAAATATTTCACTACTGAATTGTTTTGATGCAGTATTTTCAGAAACAGTCAGTCACTGAAAAATTGAAGGTAACCAAAGACCTTATCTAGGAAGTTATTCCAGAACAGGTATTCCTGACTGATTCACAAAGTGTAAACCCTTATTTACAGAGTAAGATCACCTTATCCCAAAATAGCTTAATTCACTTCAGAAATATATTATGTTAATTTGAAATAAAGCTTGCTTGTTTCACAATAAGAATGTCCACACAGGGAATCAATCAGGAATAGTTTGTTTTTCCTTAATGTGACAGGGGGCAACTTCGTGGCCAGATCCCAAAGGGACCAGCCCACCTGCCTAGGGCAGTTTGCCCCATCTTGCCTGCCACAAGTTGTTTGTTAACTTGATTTCTTAAGTGGAAGGCTGCCCATTCTTTGCCCCAATGCCAGAGGGTGCTATCCATGGCTCCAAACCTCCCCTACACTGCAGCCCAAGCCTCACAGATAGCATCCAGATTATGATTACTTCCCCCAGCCTGAGGCCAGGGCAAACTCAGTCTATAATTGGGCTCTTTTCACTCTCACACTCACTCTGCCTGCTCACACAGGGGCCTCTTGCATACTACCCATCACAGGCCACATTCCACTGCCCTAGCTCCTCTTGAGCAACCCCTCATGGACTTTTGGGCTTGGCTATTCTCTCCCTGGTACCACCACATAGCAACTGTGGTTCCCGCAAGTTCCCCTACTGTATGTGGCGTAGCCTTGGACCAATGCTGGGCTGCATTTGCCCCAAGCTCCTCACCAGGCATCTCTACACTACACCCCATCCTGGGGTATCCTTATCATATTTACAACTAGCTACTCATGGGGCTGGCCCTTGCGCTGGCCTTCAGGCCTACTCTGTGTGGGGCCTCACAACATGTTCACCAACTACCCACTCTGGGGCCTCCAGGATCTCATATCCCTGCTGGACTCAGGCACCTGCAAATGAGCATACCTGGCTCCACTACTTCCACAGCTCTCACAATGACCCATCTGGCTGGGGTTAAGTCACCCCATCCACCTTTCACCAGGTAGGTTAGTAGTCCTGGCATTTAATTGAGTCTGCCCCACCACAGGCAGTCCCACCAGGGCTCCCTATCCTGACAGGGTGCAGTTTTAGGTCATGCCCAGGACCAAGGAGCCTCCATGCCATCTCCATAGCTCCTGCTCCTACCCCCAGGATGTTCTCAAGCCATAGGTCAGCCGGCTGATGTTTCCCTCACAGCCACTGGCAGCAAACTACTGCCTCCCCCTACGTAAGCTGGGTCCTACAATGGCTGCCCTAATCAGGCATCTGCCAGCTGCCTGCCTCAGCTCTTAAAGTGGCAAGCACCCAAAGGTCTTAACCTTTATCTGAATCCAATTTCCTTTTTAAGCAAGCCCTGAAGACTAATGGCACTTTTACACCATGGTGTTTAATCCTCATTAACTTAATGAGCATTAAAAATTTTAAACTTGTTTATTTTGGTGCATTGTGTTTGTACACATCAAGCTTTTGAATGAATTAAGTTCCGTGTGCAATTCCCCATAAATTCCACTGGGGGAGCCAAATACCAGTCTACCCCCAGTGCTCTTTCCTAATGAATTTCAGCAGGAGGCACATGTAAGTAATACCCCTATTACTAATCCCATGCCTCCAGAGTTTCTGCCTCCTCGCTAGCAGCTTCATGCTACCCCCCCATCCCTGCCAAACCACAGTCACCCAAAAACCCTGCCTCTTGCACTCCCCTATGCTCTGTCCTGTCTCCAGCAGGCAACCTCGTGGCAATCCCCCCACCATGTGAGAAAGCAATGTAAATGTGTATATGAATTTATTTTTAACTACATTTTAGCGAGGACTTAGTAAGGGAGCTTCTGGAGGGGCTGG